GTGGGTACAAGGTTGAGACTCTCAGGGTTGGGCTGGAGTCCTGAACCTTCCTCGGCATCTCAAGTTCAGGCCATTTATAATGATGACCATTTTTCCATATCAGCCCAAAACTGGAGGAAAGAGGTTTTGCTGATCTTCTGTTGATGGACATAGGATGACACCCGCCCCAAGCAGGGTATTCCCCACCCGCTGTCTGCACGGACACTGGGGCAAGAAGAAGCTGAGATGCCATGGAACATGAGCAGACGAGCGAGGGTGGGGCGGGGTGGGTAAGGACCTACCTCGGCAAAGAAGTCAGGGGTGGATGACAATGTCTGGGGCCCAAGTATGGGACAGCCAGGCCTAGAAGTCCAAGTCCAGGGGCAGCTCCTGCCAGAAGCCCACAGATGGCTTCAATTGCAGGGGTCCCACAGACCAGAACTTCGCAAAAGGAGGGCCCTGTGTGCTTGTAAAGGCATAAGTGGGTCCCAGGGGACCCTGCCAATGCGAATAGAGGAAAGGCAAATTTGGAAACCCCCAGTGTGGCATACATTAGGTGGATTAGTCAGGGCCATCCTGCTTCCCAGGGCGCCCTCTGGTGGCATACCACAACAACGCCTAGACTCTGATATTGGTTCTCTGCCTGGCAGGCACCACGTCCTGTTCATAAGCCAGGAGTGGCTGGATGAAGAGCCTGTAAATGTGAAAGAGTCAGAAACACGATCCGAAGGTGTCAGTTTCAAATATTAGAGGTAGGGTCTGTGGCCTCCAGCCCAAGGCCATAACTTCCTGAGACCCCAACATCATATCCTATCCCCACCTGATACCCAGTGGAGAGCTCCATCTTCCAGCTCTCTTTTTCACCCACAGTAAGCTCTCGCTGAAGATGACAGGCCTAGTCCCAAAACTCGTCTGTAATGCAATGTCGCCCTCTGGTGGTAATATCTAGAAACCTCTTCTCTTGTAACCCCAACACCCAGGGTGCCATTCTGGAAAGGGCCTCTGCGTAGGGTAGAGTCTTCTAAGGGCACTTATGATGCAGAAGGGTGTAGGATACCTCGCTTTCCCGCAGAGTTAGAAAAGCAAGTGCTCTGACTTCCTCTTTCCAGGTGCTCCGGGGTCCCAGGACGCCTTTGAGCGCTTCTGCCATGGCTGAATTAGATGCCAGAAAGGAGCAGAATCCATGAGAGTTTGTTCTAATCTTATTCCCTGCTGGGGAAGCCCCAGAAAATGTCCTTTCACCTTGGAGAAATGGAAGCATCAAAAATAAAATCTCTCCAACCCAGAAAACCTCTTTTCTAGGACAGGAGAATAAGAAAACACATTCATCACTGAAGTGTTAAACCCAAGGGTGACTCATGACAGGCAGCCACCAGGAGGTTGCAAAGACAGAAGAATTACCGCCTTATCACGCAGCCACTGTGTATGCCATCCCACCCTGTCCTGACGATGACCTGTCCTCAGATGGGGGAGTGGCCAGACCATGGGTCTCACACTGTTCCTCTGGACTCATCCAGGGTACCTGCCCATCTGTGTTTGCCAAGTGGCCTTAGGCAGGAGGAAAATGGACTCTTAGTTCCAGGATAGGAGAAAGTTTTGCCATTTAGAATTAAGTCAGGCTCCTCTGTCCTCCACCAGCTAGGAGGCAGCGCACCACCTCCCCAGGTGGTTCCATCTCAGTGGAGCTCCTGTAGGTCATTGGGAAGAAAGTCCTGGGTGTAAAGCTGATCAGAGGCATATTAGCTGCTGAGGTCTGCGTGTGTTTCAAAGGGGCAGAAAGGGCATTTACAGTGACAAGATTTCTAAGTCAGGGAGAGAGTACATGTCTTCCCTTTTTAAAAAACTTTTAACAGGAAGAGCTCAGCATGTTGGCTGTCATTTTTCTATACCCTTACTGTGCTCCTAGATTAGTGCCTGGTACTCCTGTGTCGGGCCACTAGGGGTTCCAACCGGAGCACAGCAACTGTGGATGGAAATGTTTTCCTTCCCTTGCCTTCTCTTCTCTTCTTTCTCTTCCCTTCCATTTCCTTCCCTTCCCCTCCCCTCCCCTCCCCTTCCCCTACCCTACCCATACTCCTCTCTTCTCTCTTTTCCTCTCCTCTCCTCTCGTCTCTGTTGTCTCTTCCTTGCTTTCTTCCTTCTCTTTTTCCTCCTCCACTTTTCCTCTTTCTCCTTCTCCTCTCCCTCTTTCTCCTCCTCATCCATCTCCTCCTCCTCCTTCTTTCTCACCCTGTTGGGGATCAAACTCAGGGCTTTTCACATGCCAAGTAAGCGCTCTACCACTGAGCAAAATGCCCAACCCTGCAATTTTCTCCTTTGCTTAAAACTGAAAACCATGAGCTTGCTTAGTATTTTGTATAAATCTTCATGTTCCTTTGCAGAAAATCATAACTTGGTGGAAGTGAAGTGCACTTTAGCTAAGATAGCCCAAGATGCTGAGTTGTTCCCTTGCCCTGTCCCGTCACCTAGGCCTTGTTAGTAACTACTCATTGTCACAAAGCCAGGCCTCAATCCTACAAGCTTGCTATAGGTTACACATTCCTTAACTTACTCATTTTGACACATGTCAGTGTATAGTCAGTTTCTGTCTGGGTGACAGATCCTGAGAACGAGGTGCCTTTGGATGAAAAGAAAAAATGAGAGAGACAGCCTATCCCTGTCTGACTGAAGCCCCAATTACCATCCCCTCCTTAGCCTTTTATTGGGATACAAACAAAAAGCAGCAACAGGACAAGTGGGAGGAATAATTAACAGGATTAGTGAAGACAATACAACTTAATTACCACAAGAATGAGACTTGACTTAACCATCATGTTACCATTCCTTGGGGCATATCTCAGCAAAGCATCGAGTGTTGTCCCAGCAGCTTTCCACAGGGACACAGGTCCTGCTATCATTTCCTTTTGCACTAATGCTTTTGCTAGATTTCCTCCAGAATCAAACAGTTGTATGGCTTGGTCAGGCCCGAAGTCCCAAATAGGTAATACATTGAAAGATAAACTAAAGAATGTCCTTCTCCACAGACACAACGTACAACACACGCACAATTCCAGGCCGGCCTCCCATGAGGCTCTGGGACTCAGCACATTATTTAGTGACTGACAACGAACTAGAACCCAAGACTCTTCATAGGAGAGCATTTAACAAGTGATCTAGTTTTAAGGTTCTAAAACTACTGTATTGGGGTTACAGAAACCTTCAAAATATAGAAGATGATTGTAGAAATATGGCTCGACCAAACCAGAACGTCACCAAGGGAGCAAATCTCCCCTGAACTAGGCTGGCCCATAGCTCCCTGAAACCACGAATTTCAGGAGCCAGGAGAACCCAGAGGGCGAGGCTGCCCTCATCTCAGGTGCAGCACCTCAGCACATCACCCACTCTGCTTGGGAATTCCCAAACCTGCTAAGCGTGACCCAACCCCACCCACACTTAGCTACTGTCCTCATCTCCATGTCACCATCAGCTCTGGCCAGAAAGGATTTATGTTCCCTCAGGAGGCAGCAAAGCCTGGAAATCCAAGGTTCTTTTGCCTTGTTTGTGTCAGATCAAGGCTCCGGGACCACCCCCGCCCACCTTAGAACTGACTTCCAAGGTCTCCCTTGGATTTACATGCGAACCTCTCATCTTGGGACACTAAGCCTCAGGGCTAGGCTGAAAGCAGTAAAGGATAAACACTCAAGCCAGTGTTTTTTTGCACAGCATTGTGAATGTTCCTAGTGTTGCTGAACTGTTCCCTTAAAAGGGTTGAATTAGTAAATTCTGGGTTATGAATATTATAGAAACTGCCAGAACCAAGTCAGAGTCACTTCTGTTAATCCATAACCAAATAAGTAAATTAATAAGTAAAGTCAGTTAGGAGGAATTGCATGGGTGCACAATCAGGAGAAATAGTCACAGGAGAGTCTGCTAAGAGCCACCCTGTGTACAAAATCCAGGCAAAATTTCCACAGCAAATACTTCTGCAAGGACATCCAGCTAATGACTGTCAGTTCAAGCTGGGAGTGGCACCATCCTGATCACTGATCTGTGAATCGCCTGGATTTTAGTGCTTTGGCCAAGAGTTACTATTTCAAAATATTTTATGTAATCCTCCTCATTTCTCCTTACTACCTTACCCTTGCCTTAACAGTCTCTGAATGCAAACTAATGTACAATGGCACACAAACTCCACTGCAATCCTATGTTATTCCCCACTATACCTAATTAATAGAAATTCTTCCTCTGTGCATTGTTTTACCATCATAAAGAATGAAACTGTTGTCCCAGGTTACACCTCCCCCAACTTCTCCCTGTAGATGTTGCTGCCATAGTTTAAGGTCTGAACTAGACGATGAAGTGGCTGGATACAGAAGGACCTAAGAAAGGGATGCCAGTGGTCACCAACTAGATGTATGGTTGGTGCTAAAAGAAGAGACAAAGGTTACTGTAGCCCTCAGATCTGGGTCCTGTCAGTGCAGCTGTGTCCTCTCAGGAAGTGAAATAACTTAATGGAGGACACATTTAATTTGGCTTGTGTTAACTTGGAAAATACATTGTCTTCTACAAACCAACAGGAGTAATTGACATAAATTATCTCACTTAAAATCAATGAGAAATTCACTCAGTTTTCAGAAGTCCTGCAATTATGTTTTCTCTGGTCTCCTAATCCTTTACCTATTGCCCGTCATCGCAAAATCCACCTCTTCCTTCTCCCTGTCCCATAATGAGCTCAATCAGAGAGGCGGGTGGGAAATCAGAATATTTGCACTCTGGAATCTTATCATCTTTGCAAATTCACAGTATACAGTTTATGTCACTCATCGCACAACACCTCTAGATTGCAGTGCGCCCATATTGGGACCAGTGCTTACACATTGCTTAACCCATACTCCTGACCTGTTACTATTACGCAGACTCATTAGGAGTACTGTCCTGCAGCCTGGGCCCTCTGCTCCCCTTTTCGAACTTCTGGTTCAACTTTCTCTCAACATTCAAGTGTTTTGTACTGAGAGCAGTGTAACAAATAGACATGGACTCACCTCCCAGAGATGATTTCCTTGATCTCTGATCCAGTGTTAAAGATTCCTGAGTCTCAGCAGCCTCCATTAAGGGCACTGGATTCCAGCCGCCACTCCCACCTTTTGATATTTCATGAAGAAGCTGCAGACAGCACCTACAGGCAAGTTCTCATTTTTCCCAATCTGACTTCTCCTGCATATCCTTCTAGAAGCGGTTGCCACAATCCTAGCCATCATCTCTGACACTTTCCTCTTGCTTATCCCCATTTGAAACATTTAACTTCTTCCACTTTTGCCCAAAATGTACCTCCAAATGGTCCAGGTCACACTATCACATTCATCTGCTCTAAACTATTACTCTGTCTCTTGGGCCTCAGCTGGTCCAGATGGCTCCTTTTTGAACACTGACCAAGGTCCTCTCTTCAGGACACTCAGACCATGCGTGCAATTAGTTGGCATCCAATATTTTTGAATCAACAAGAATAAGCACCTTTTTACTAGGCAGGCTCAGTTTCAAGCCAGGCCCTTGTCTTGGGAGGAGTACACTTCATTTAGTTCCCAACAGCCCTTCTTGGCCAATGGTCTTGCAGTGAACACCTTGTACACCTATACCTGGTGCTTCTCCTGTACCCTCCTGCTGTACTTGCAGGGGCTTTGCTACCATTCCTGCCTCCTCAGTTCCATTCTCCATGTTCAATCAGAGTGTCACAAATGTACGCAATCACATACAAGGACACAAGCACCCCAAACACTGGCCATGTTGATCGCCAGCTAAAAGGTTAGCAATACCCTCCCTTGTAACTGAATTACAGTCTGCATTACCTAACATGGGTGATGGCCCCGCTGCCCTCACCTACTTCTTCTCCCGTTCCTTCCATCAGCAGCCATGTGGACTGCCTTTCCTCCTGCCTCAAGGTCACCAGGCCTCTCAGCCTGAAGAATTTGCCTCACTGCCTGCTGAGCCCACCATTGCTTGGCTCTTGGCCCAGTCACCCTCCCTGGGAAGCCTCATCATCCTCTCTCCTTGCAACCCAATAACCTGCCTCCCCTGGCCCTTGTCACAGCAGTGAAATGACCCACCTATCTTTGTACTCCCAAAGCTCCTGAGGCTCCTTCTATGGAAGACTTTGGTTGCCACATCTCTGCCTTATCCTGAGTGCCCACTCAGCCTGTGGTCCACAGTAAAAGCATGAACAAAATCCTACATGCAAAGCCTAGCTTGTGCTGTCCTTCTGTGTCAGAAAACCAGAGAGGAGAAGATCAATAACTTCACTGGTCTGTGAGGATAGTAGGGCATGTGGGCACAGGTGAGCTTCTTTTTGGAAGAGAAGTGTCCCTTTTATAAAGGAGACTTCCATGGAGAGGGATTTGCCCTTCTGTTTTGCTGTGCCTATCTCAGTGAGGCACATGCTCAGGTAAAATGTGTAAGGAGTGCAATGGCGCCAGCTCTGAGCCACCAGAGAAGCACACAGTAGCTGCCCACTGTCTGGTGCCTGTTAGCTGGACACCAGCCCTGCTGGAGGCTGAAAAGAATACCTGGAACACAGTAGGTCCCTCCACACAGTTTCTTTCTATTTTTTTTTTTTTTTTTTAAAGAGTAAAAGAAGGATAACAAAGTAATAGGGGGGCCTTACCAAATTACAGACAAAGTGGTAGGAAATTATCAATGGTTGTTGTTTTACATATTTCTATCTACAGGATAGTTTCTCAGGAAAACAAATAGACAAATAATAGTGAGTTATAGACAAAAGTGGTAGCAGATTATCAATGGTTGTTGTACTATACTTTGGTATCTTCAAAGTGGTTTCTAAAGAAAATAAATAGAGCTATACATGAGTGACCAATTGAATAATCATTGACTATTCTCAATGGTTGTTGTGGGAAACACATAGTAATAAACATACATCCATTTACAAAATAGCATAGGGATAATACAACATTACAGAGTTATGGACAGATTAGTAGGAAAATATCAATGGCTGCTGTAATACGTGGTGGTATCTTCAAAGTGGTTTCGCAGGAACACAGAGATACACAAGAAAGATGTAACAAGTAGTTACAGCCTAAGGGTTGTGAAGATAGCGTATTACCTCTTCACCAGTGACTCCTGTCACTGAGGTGTGACAGCTGGAAGGAAGGCCAGGATTGAAAAGAAGGACCGAGAGACTTGCACCTGTGTCTAGCAACAGGCTGTTTTCTTTTTTCTCTATAGTCATGATTACCCAGGGCTCCTCCATGGAGAGGACAGTCTGGCCAGAGGGAGCAGGCAGAGTATGCCCCAGGCCCCCTCATTCCTGTTGGACTAACTGGTAGGATGGGTATAAGCTCTGGGGCCTCCACTTTAGAGGGCAGACTGATCTCCAGTGGTCACCTTTGCAGTTAGGGCATAGCCCAGGGGGCTTCTTAGGGCAGTTCCTCTTGAGGTGGCCTGGCTTTTAACAGTGGTAACAGATGAATATAGTCATTGAGTTCTTCTTGGGGCCCCAAGAATCAGACTTAGGGCCTGTTTCTCTTGGTGCTGCAGCAAAAGCAGCTGCTTTTTCTTGGTCTCTTTGTTTTCTCTCCTTGGCCTCCTCCTAGTCACAGCTGTAGAATACTGAGGAGACAATTCTTACTAACATCTCAAGTGAGCCATCTAGGGCACAAGCCATTTTTTGTAGCTTTTTCTCTCCAGCCTCCCAGCACATTAGGACCCCACAACCTCCACGCAGTTTCTGAGGGACTGACCAGAGGGACAAAGGAGGAGGGGCAGAGCAAAAGAGAGGAACTACCTAGGATCTCTTTTTTATGGGCCAGGTGAAGATTTGCCAGGGAAAAGTGCAGCTGTGAACAAGCTTGTTGCTGATCCAGGGAATGTGAATGCTTGTCCGTCCTAAGACAGTACAGGGTGACTGCCACAGAGCTGTCATCCTGGTGTGTGCCTAGGGCCAGCATGGACCTGAGAAAGGGCCAAGTGTGCAGGATGAGAAATGCTACAGCCTGGTGGAATAAGAACAGGGGCAGGCCTCCTCCAAGGATGAAGACCCTTATATCATCTCAGAGCCTACTTCCCCTTACAGGTCACAAAGGTCCCCCAAGGATCTCAAAGATGAATGGACCTGTCACAGACCAGGTCCTTAAACCAGGGTTGATGATTATCAAATATCTAGGAGTGAGCCAAGGAGGTGGCACCACATCTGCTCCCCAAAAGCAGGATAGGCCATTGACAGTCTCCACTGAAAGCCAGTCAGAGGCTGAGGGCTGAGGCCACCCTGGACATTCTCGGCTCTGTGGTAGCAGGTGAGTGAACATAAGTCAGGTATGTGTGGTACTGTGGTCCCAAGACTCTTAAGATTGGATCCTTTTTGTTGCTTGGCCCTTTTGCCATCTCAGCAGTCAAAACTTGCTGAGAGGGAGGAGACTTTGCTGAAACTTCTGCTTGCGATCACAGCATTTCTGCAATAGGTGGACTCTGGGGAGGGACCAAAGGGCTGAGAATGTGAGATCTGGCTGCCACACTGTCATCCCAATGTTCTAAAATCTCAGAGAGCCTGTAAGAGAATAATGGAGAAAGGGATTTTATTTACCAATATTTTGTACAAGATAAATGATAGATGATAGATAGATGATACATAGATTGATAGATACATAGACAAATACATAGATAGATGATGATAGATAGATAGATGACAGATAGATGTCAGATAGCTAGATAGATTAGATAGATAGATAGATAGATAGATAGATAGATAGATAGATAGATAGAATTTTCTGTTTGAGACAAGGTCTCACTATATAGTTCAGGCTGGCTTTGAACTCACTATGTAGCTCAGGCTGGCCTCGAACTCATGGTGATCCTGCCTCAGCCTCCCGAGTGCTGGGATTACAGGTGTGCGCCACCACACCCAGCTATAAATTATATTAAATCTTCAAAAGAACCCTAGAAGACAGGTTCTTTTATTTTACCTTGCTCTAGAGATGAAGACATAGGCTCAGAGGGGTTAAGTGACATGACCAAATCACCCAGGTAAGGGTTTCAATTAGCTTTCTGACCCTAAACATTCTCTCAGTGGTACTTCCCTGCTTTGCCCTGGATGATAGCTGAAAGGCATATCCCTCAGCAGTCTCCATGCCTCTTAGGGAGCTTGGAGCATGTGGACACTAACATGTTTTCCTCTTTCTTTTCCAGGGTTACATGGAAGTTACGCAGACAGATCTAGCTGTTTCTCCTGGTTGTTGAGATTTTAGACACAGAAATCTCAACATGGCTTCTTATCAGATTCGCAAATATCAGGAGAGTGACCGAAAAACCGTCCTGGACTTGTTTTCCAGTGGCTTGTTGGAGCACATCCCTGCCACCTTCCGCTACATGCTGATTCTGCCCCAAACCCTTCTGTTCATGCTTGGGGTGCTCCTCTCCGTATTCCTGGTCTCTGGTTCCTGGCTCCTGGTCACTGTGTCTAGCTTCATTCTGCTCGTTTTCCTGTGGTTTCTTGCCGGTTATACCTGGAAGAAGCGTGTGAAAGCAGGTTTGTCCACAGACCTGGCTGACATCCCCAAATCCTACCTGAGTGCATCTGGTTCCTGTTTCTGGGTGGCTGAGTCCGGGGGGCAGGTGGTGGGCACTGTGTGTGCTCTGCTGGAGAAGAATCCCCCACCAGGGAAGAAGCAGTTGCGACTGTACCATCTCTCTGTAGCCTTGGAGCGCCGAGGAGAGGGACTAGCGAAAGCCCTGGTCAGGACTGTCCTCCAGTTTGCCCGGGAACAAGGCTGCCATGAAGTCATCCTTCGCACCAGTGTGCTGCAGTACGCTGCCCTGGGCCTCTACCAGAGCATGGGCTTCCAGAAAACAGGCCATTCCTTCTATAGCAAGTTCTCAAGGCTGAGGGGTACCCCTTTATTGCATCTCACATACCGGTTCCCTTCTGCTCAGGAAGGAGGTCTGTGACCTCTTGCCTCGTGTATCAGTCAAGATCTGATCAATGCTGCCTCAGTAACAAGCAAACCCTGACATCTCAGTGACATAAGCAGTAAAAGTACATTGCTTGTGCACACCTGAGTCTGCTTTTTTGATAGTATGATGGGAGTGCTGGAAGCTCTGCTCAGTTCTATCTTTCTGGGGTGATTTCATGTATCTAACACCATGGTGCTATTGTATAAAAAGTACACAAACAATAATAAACTTTTATTTAACTTATGACTGTACCAGCAATTTCTTTTTTTTATTTAATATTACCATGAACAGAGAAAACCATGGCTAGTGAAATCTAAAGCTTATACACTTTTAAAAAGCTGTCCAATACTACAAACACCACAAAATACAAAAACAAAATTCCAATGTTTAATTAACAAACCAAGAACTCCTCTTGGAAACTTTCTCTTTTTCTCCTATTATCTAATTTTACTTTGTTCTTTACTTATATTTTGGGTTTCTCATATGAGAATAACCATGCAATATTATGCTTGAGTGTCTGGGTTTTTTTCACTTAACATTATAGTCTCAAGGTATATCCACTGTCCTACAAATGACTCAGATGTATCCTTCTTTATGACAGAGTAGTACTCCATCATGTACATTTACCACATTTTCACCAGACATAGTGGCCCAGACCTGTGATCCTAGCACTTGGGAGGCTGAGGCAGGAGGATTCCTGCGAGTTTGAGGCCCGCCTGAGCTACATAGTGAGTTCAAGAGTGTATTGCATGGTGAGACCCTGTCTCAAAATACATACATACATCATACATACCACATTTTCTTTATCCATTCATCTGTTGATAGACATATAGGTCACTTCCAAGATTTACCTATTATGAATTGTGCTACTATAAACATGGATTATGCGTGTACCACTGTAATATGGTGTCTTTAACTCTTTCAGAAAGAATAAATGGGTCAAATAGATTTTCTATTTTTAGTTTTTTGAAGAATTTCCATACTGATTTCCACAGTAATTGTACTAATTTTCATTCTTACCGACAGTGTAGAGGGGTTCCTTTTCCCCTGCAACCTCTCCAGCTTTTATTGTTTGATTTCTTGATGACAGCCATTTTTTCTAGAGTGAATGAAATCTCAGTGTTGCTTTAATTTGCATTTAATGGCTGATGTTGAACTTTTGTATGTATTTATTAGCCATTTGTGCTATTTCTTCTGAAAAGTGTCTTTTCATTTCAGTTGCTCATTTTTGATTGGGTCTTTTTTGGGGGGCAGTTTGGTTTTTCTGAGGTCTTTATATATTCTAGATATTAGCCCTGTGTTTGATGAATAATTGGCAATTTTTTTCACATTTTGTAGGTTATCTCTTCACTCTGCGATTTCTTTTACTATGCACAAGCACTTTAATTTGATATGATCACATTTGTTTCTTCATATTGCTTCTTGGGCAATTAGGGTTCTGTTCAGAAAGACCACGCTTACACCTATGCTTTCAAGAGTTTTACTTATTTTATGTTCCGGCAGGCTAAGTGTTTCTGTTTTAATATGTAGATCTTTGATTTCTTTTGATTTTAGTTTAGTACATGGTGAGAGATACAGGTCTAGGTTCAACCTTTGGCATGTGAATAGCCAGTCTTCTTAGCACCACTTGCTAAAGCAGCTATCTTTCCTCCAGCTTAAATTTTTGACCCCCTTGTCAAAGATCAGGTAGCTGAATGTGCCTGGAGTTGTGTCTGTACCCTCTATTCTGTTCCACTGACCTACATGTCTGGCTTTTCTTTTTGTCAAGACTATGCTGTTTCTATCACTATAGCTTTGTAGGAGCTGGATGGCTTCAAGTCAGGATGGCATGGCAGAGGGCATCACAGAGGAGAAATAGTTTATGGCAGGCAGAAGGCAGCAAGGCAGCAAGTAACAAGTAAAGACCCTCTTTCTGTCCTTTATATTTTATTCAAACTACCCAACCTTAGGGCAGGTAGCACCCACACCCAGGGTGGGGAACCCTTAATCCTACCCAGAACTGTGCCATATCAATCAGTATACTAATTTAATAAACACACACCCTTGACCCCAGCATCACACACTCCAGATCCGGCTACCTCCCAAAAGCCCCACCTATGACCACATGAGTCTTTGGGGGGGCATCTAGACATAAACCATAACAGTAAGTTTTTTATTATTTCTTCAGTTTTATTACCTGATAGTAGATTAGTCAGGATGTGTAATCTTGGTACAGCTTTGGTAGTTCATATATATATATATATATATATATAT